CTTTGTTTTGACACTTTAAATGATGTTTGATTATCCGCTTCGACGTTCCAGCACTTCAGCATCACCGACGAAAAAATTCACAAAACCACAAATAACACATTAAGCATTGGTCGTATGAACTCCGTTTCATGGATAAGAAGGTGGAATTAATGTTCATAGAGACTTTTYATTGAACTGGTATCTGGTAACAATATCAAACTGAAGATAATTTTATGCGAACGATGCAAGAACTGCAATTTCAACGAGCCGTRCGAAAAAATTCCCAAAGCTACAAATAATTCCCAAAAAATTCCCAAAGCTACAAATAAAGACCTTGGTCGGATTAATTACGTTTAATAAATAAGCTGGTATTCATGTTTTCAGATTGAACTAGTAGCTTGTTTATCGTGTACTAGTAGGTAACGAATTTATAAAGAGACTCATGATGAACAATTGTTGAASTGAAAGAAATCTCGATTCTCAAGAGCAAATCGCAATTCTTGTACTACTTTTCTTATGTAGTATCTCAATAAAATGCAAAATACTCACTAATTTTTAGCTTCATAGAAAAATGTAACTTGCTTTTCACGCGTTATCCACAATAATAAAGATGCAGTTAAGCTTATTACGTTTTTGATTTTTTACTTCCAGTTTCAAGTTGCTTTGTTATTTTTAGTTTATACCGAAGATTCTATGCACTCAAAAACTACAAGAAATAGTAAAACTTTATGCAGAATACTCATAACTAGTTGTTGCCAAGTTTTTGGATACATTTTTTTATAAATAGCTGATTTTTTCCCTCTACTTCTAGTTTTGAATCGCACTTGACAAAAAATGACGTCAAAACCACGTTTACATACTCTGATACAAACACGGCAGTCGGCCAATCAGAACGCGCGTAGTATCCAAGTTATTCTATAATTATAGTTGGAACCACATCTAGGTTTGTTTATCACTCCAAGCTTAGGCAATCATATTCCTTATTTTTCTTGTCAATCATAGGAAATCTTCAGGTAACTCTCTAGTTTATTCTGGCAAAATCAGTAAGAAGAAGGGAGGGGGGGAGTGGGTGCAACTCCTATATATTTGCTATACGGGTACGTGCCGCTGGCCAGGGTATGGCTTTTGGGATTGCTGTCTAAAACAGGGTATACATTTCACCGGAAATTGTCTTAAAAATAAAAGATGCTGAAATTGCAAAGGAAATGAAGGATTGCAAGCAACACTTTGTCGAAAGCACATGCTTCTCAACTGAAAGCCTACAAAAACCTATTTTTGAACATTTAACTGAAGCATGTTAAACGTTTAATAAAACCAGGAGAACCTTGCCGTATGTTCTGAGATTCATCCAAAACACAAGAGAGAAAGTCAAAAGACGTGGTCCAATAACTGTCGAGGAACTAAGAGAGTCCGAGAAGAACCTGTTCAAGTGATGCCAAACTGAACTAGACAAGAAATTGATGGTGAAAAAGGACAACCAAGGAATTTTACGTGCACACGGATGACTCGCGAACATTCGAACACTGCGGGAAGACTTACATAACCCAACGTTAAATTGCGTCAAATTCTCCCATCGTCTAGTTTTACAGATGAACGTGGMAGAGGCTTTTTACACTTTTCAGAAGCTTTTGACCTGTACAGTAGCTTTTTTGAGAAGCCCATAGAAAAAGAAGAATTCAGAGACCAGCTTTTGAATCCTGAATATGGTCTGCGTGCGTTCGTGGCCACTATTCATGGTACARGGTATAAAATTSTTATTTTTACATTGCATTATCATATCATTATGAGTCTGTTRGATTGTGGTTGGTAGCTCAGTTTTTTACATATACGAGGGCCCGGATCAAAATGTATTTTGAATGCTTATTTGCARATCAGATTAGCACAGTGGTGTAAAAAGTCTCGAAAATGACTTAACAGATATTGACTTGCTTTTAAAAGAGTTGGAAAATACCACAGAGGGAAGAATGTGCAGTATGAGCTCACTGATGTCAACTTGCAAAGTATTATAAATTCAATGGACACAGAATATGACAAGAATGAACTAAAAGGTGATATATTTGCAACCAGAAATCAAAGTGAATTTGAAAGTCTAGGGATTAAGGCTGACAGAGCAGTTACTTTTTTAAATAAAACAGTAAATACTGCTAAAGAATGGGAGAATACAATGTTGGCAGCAGAGGACATAATAATAATAACTTTATTAAAAAGAGAATGKTAGCCATTGGAGTCTAAATTGTACTCTTAATTACAATACTCTTAATTAATTAAGATGATAGGATATTTAAACAATAAATTATAAATATATATAACATATATAATAATGTTCACTTATTATCAGATAGGATTAGATTTTAAAATCAACGTCCCCTAGATGATAGGTTCCACGACCTTGCGGCCTGGCATATAGAATTRTTCATGGATCGTTTAGTCTTGTAGACAGGAATCTTGTAAGTCGGGCCATTTGTAGAATACCTTGTTGCGTATGGGTTGTTATACAGTTCAGGGAGGAAACCATGGAGTTTATGATGCTGATTCTGCATCGACAGGAAAAACGACTTGCATAGGTYTTCAAGCCTTTCCTTCACTCGTGGAATCCTTGCAAGCAAGCATCGTTGTAGCTGTGATCCGGGTATATAACTCGCATCGTTCGCCTTTGGATGGATTCAAGTTGTTCGAGGAGGAAATTCGGGGTGCTGTAGAACCATGCTTGGAAGGAATACTCAAGGACTGATCTGATACAAGTTGTGTAGAACAAGGTCTTTTTCGGCAACACTTGCTCTTTTTAGGAGGCKTACAGAATAAATCCTCTTAKAGGTCTTCTTAATTAKATGCTCAATATGAGCATTCCACATCAGATTAGATGATATAATTAGGGGAGTTTCACCAAGAGTGATGTCATCCATGTACTTCCAGCACCAGCTTTCACGGTGAACTAGGGAGTTTACCATGATATGAAATAACGTCGGGCCCAGGACACTGCCCTKTGGGTCGCCCGAAGGAACCGGTTTCCACTCGGATGAAATTCCATCAAGGCAGACTCTTTGAGAGTGCCCAGTCAGGAAACTGGTAATACTTCGAACCAAGGCAGGATGAACGTSGAATTGACGCACTACTTCGATTAAGATGTTATGGTCCACTCTGTCAAAACCTTTACTTAGATCATAGAAGCAAAGTCTCACTAAGTTGTTCGGATAATCAGTTGATGAGAGGAGGAAGTTCATCAAGTCCACAAGGACACATGTGGTTGACGAGCCTTTGACAGAACCAAAGTGGCGCTTATTCAACGAGGACCCAAGTTTAAGTGTCTCTCATACAATTTGCCAACTGGTGAAGTAAGTGAAATTGGTCGCAGGTCTTTCTCTGGATCTTGGACACAGGATTTATTAGGAACTGGGCAGACATCAGCTTGCYTACATTGTGCAGGAAAATGACCTTCAATAAGAGCAGAGTTGAAGATATGTGTCCGCCAGATTTCCAGGCGCGCTGTCGTTTTACAATGAGCGACTTAATATTGKTGGTCATCCATGGTTTATCGTTGGTATTGATTCGGTGGTGCTTGACAGACACAGTCTGGTCAAGTGCCGAAATAACCAAGTCGTAGAAAASGATGGTTTTTTCTTCTACAGATTGACAGTGGTAAACTTCTATCCAGTTCTCTCTCTTTAATTGGTCGTAAAGTCTACTCAGGTTGGTAGTGTTAAGCTTGCGCTTATGTATGACTTTCTGTATTCCTTTAGGCACTGAAAACTCTTTAGGTTTAAACAGGATCGCATTATGATCCGATCTGCCCAAAGGAGGAAGTTGGACAGGCTCCTTATAGTAATCTTGGATATTTGTAAGGATGACGTCAAGAGTAACATCTCCACGAGTTGGATATTTCACGATCTGCTTTATTCCAAGTTTGCGGCTAATAGATTTGGTGCACATGCGGTTGAAGTCGCCCATAATGATGAGTCCTGCATCTGGGTGTTTTGCTAGATAATTGTCAGCAGAATCAACAGTATAGCTATTTCAAAAAAGGTTGTCGGGTAAAATGGCGAATGTCAATGGTCGAGCGGCGATTGCACGACCGAAAGTAGTCATGGGTTTTGGTAGTTGAAAGGCAATAACAACTGATTTGTAYTGTAAGATGGACTGTTGTAAACATTGGCTCCATTTAGTCTCCATTTCTCCGCAAGGTGAATCCAATAAGTGAAATTTTGTTTGTCAAAACAGTGTAACCATAGTCCCTTTCGGTCGTGCAATCTCTCTTCGACAATCGTCGTTCGCCGTTCTCCCCGACAACGTTTTTTGAAATAGCTGTATGTTGTTCCAATACTTTTGGATCTTTGGTAGCATCAGGGCGATATATTATGGCAATCAAGAGTGATGACATTTCACGCGGTAGTCTAGTTGGCCGAGCTTTTAACCAGAGGCTTTCATAATCATCACACTGATATCGTGATATTTCAGAGGAGGAGATATCAGATTTAATCCACGCACAGACTCCACCGACTTTACGTTCATGGCGGTCACAACGATAGATATTGAAACCTTTAAGCGAGATATAATTATCAGGAATGTTCTCAGTCAACCATGACTCAGTAATGCAGATTAAACTTGCATTGTTAAACTTGGAAATCCCGTCAAGGTCATCAATTTTAAGAGCGATAGACCTTGGGTTTGTATATAGGATATTAGGAAAGTTGTAAGATGTTGTCTTCGCTGGTTGTACTSGATTAGGYGAGGTAGGGTTATCCGTATTTTAGTCAGGGAGCATATGTCAATAYTCAAAGTCCCGTGGGATTTTCTTGAAGACAGCAAGCCACCTATCTAGAAGTGTTGAGGGGACCCTTAAGAACATAAAACATGTTGTCTTCAATTTTGTAACTCGCTACGACAGCTGCTACGGCGGTTTTAATGTAGGACCTATATTGGTTCAGCATGAAAACGAGGCTGAGACTTTATTGGCTTATAACTACTGATAATCTCAACCAAATGTAAGCAAACTTTCTCAGTTATGTATTTGGATAGTATCCAACATGACCATGAACATTAAGTTAATTAAAAAGATCAYGTGACCATCTTAACGTGGAAGCGAGGCTCTGACTTAAACTCGCATTAATCTATTAYTATTATACAATCTCACAAATGCTATCTAGAATTGCTATGGAATAGTTTCTGACATCTTGCTAAACAATCAATAAAGGCACAAAGATAGTCACGTGATTTTTTTACATGAGAACGAGRCTATAATGAAATAAACCAGTATCTTGTTGCTAGCTAGATTTCTTGGTAGAAAAAATGCTGCTTATTTAATTTAATTTATTTTCTTTCAACTTTCTAATGCTGTGACATTTGACAAAATATATACTTACATGAATAAACAGAATTTATGGTTTACACGGTCAGCAGTTGTTTAGTCTATGAATTGGTCAGCGGTTTTTTGCATCTCGCTAGTAATCCGCYATTTTGAATTGCCAGTCCATGTAGTGAAGTTTTCCTGATCGTTTATGGCAAACTCAAATCTTTCAACTTCTTTAGAGCACGAAAAGACAAGCCTAAATTTTGATCTCTGCATTATTTGTAGAAAATGAAAGTCTTGTTTGTAATCCTTCAATAGATTCGTATGGMAAAGTGTTAAGCTTTGTTAAAGAATGGGCTAGTTATGGAAATAAACAATATACAGAGGCTTGGATTCTCCTTCAGGATATTTCTGCAAAAGAATTAGAAGAAAAGAATTCAATCATGGCATCGATCCTGCTACAAGAATGTTGCCCATACAGGACTGCTCAAGAGAGCAAAGGAAAGATACGAAAGAGAGTTACTGGGTCCAAACGAGTCTAAGCGTAAGTCTAGCTCTGAGAATAAGGCAGTTTTTGAGTGTGCTAAGTTGATATGGTCACAAACTTCACCTTTAGACAAGGATGTATGTTTTTTCTGCGATAGTCAGGCAAGTTCRAAGGATGTGTTGTATAATGTTAGGACTCTGTCTGGTGGAGAATCACTGCATAAAGCCATCTCTATATCCGGTGACGAAAAGCTCTCAATTAAGCTAAATACTGCCATTTCCGCCAATGATGCACATTCAATAGACATAAAATATCACAAAAAGTGTTCGCTTAACAACGTAATGTTTTGCGAAGATCTGTTCCTACTTCTCAAGCCGCTGTTAGAATGCCAGCCAGTGAAATCGCAGCTAAAATAGAATTTCTAACTTTAGCAAAAATTGTTTTAAGCGATGGAAATATTGTTGCAATTTCTCAGCTAGAAGAAGCATACAAGGGAATTCTTTGTGCCAATAATGTGGACRATGACTCCATCAACCGAAGGTCATTGAAGMAATTGCTCCAATGTGMAATTGCCAACATAGAATTTCATAGGCCCAAACGACTGAACGAATCAGAAAGGGTTAGCATGAAGACAGGGAGGGACAAAGCAATCCAAAAATCTGAAGATCAAGGTGACATAAAAGATGATGAGATGAAGACCTTATTCGATGCTGCTGTAATTATCAGAAAGTCCATTAAAAAATGTAAAAAATGGGTATTTACAGGTTCCCTTGATAACATCACTCACGAGAATGTTACCATGGAACTATTCAGCTTTTTTAGATGGGTAATACAAGGCCCAGCTGACGTGCTATCATCAGAGGAAAAGTCCAATGAAGTACACAAACGTGCCAKGAGTCTTACACAAAGCACCGTTTCCATGTGTTTGTCAGACCGCCAGGTAAAGCACAAGCATAAAAAATCAGAAACCACAAGTAGAATGACATCTGAAATGCCTCAACAATTGGCTATTGGACTTGCTGTGCACCAAGCTTACCGCAGCAAAGAATTGATCAGGTTCCTCCACGGTTTTGGGATGTCGGTTGATTATAACCGAGTCCTAAGAGTAGAATCGCAAACAGAGTCCAATGTTCTTCAAAGAATGGAACAAAATGGCGATGTATATCTGCCTYCAGATATAGTTAAGGGACGGCACGTCTTCTTTGCAGTTGATAACATCGATTTCGCCGAGGATACTCCCGATGGGAAGCGTACGTTCCATGGCACTGCAATGGCCATTTACCAACGCGCCAATGCTGAAAGATCGCTCGATTAACGATCTTCCAGAGTCGATTACCAGCCTCATGGAATGCCMTGAGCCTCCGAAGAAGCCTAAAGGTGAAAAATTCAATCTTACTGTTGACGATCTGCCAATCAAGACAAAGGTGCAAGATACGGCATGGCTGTTAGGAAGAAACGTGACAAGAGTAAAGACTGACAACTCCCAAGCWATAACAAGCATCCCAGTGTGGTCTGCCTATAACTCACTCGTCACTGATACGCTGCCAATCACACGAGTTGGAACACCTCTTGTTGATGCACCAGCACACGAGTGGTCTACACTTTTAACTGTGCTTATGCAAGCACAATCAATAAGTGCTAAAGTTGTCGGTCCAACAAGGAAGACTGTGATCTCTATGTATCTAGATCTATACCAGCCTGCAAAGAAGMTGCAAATGTGTCGTCCTGATATGAAAAACCTGATTCTTCGACCTGGAGAGCTCCATATTGTGATGGCTGTTCTGAGAGCAATAGGCTCATACATAGATAACAGCGGAATCGACACATGCTGGATTGAATCCGAGCTCTATGGTCCATCAACAGTTCAACAGATCCTTGGTGGAAAGCACGTGAAAAGAGCTCAAACAGCCCACATGGTCACTCTGCAGGCTTTATTCATTTTGTACTATGACGCCATCGTAGAAGAGGAAACGATTGCCCTCGAAAGTCTTGAAGTCTTGAATGATGCCTGTGCTAGCAGCTCCAGCGAAAATATCAAAAAGGCCCACAACAAGCTAGTAGAAACCATGGAGGCACAGAATGTCCTGGAAAAGATGGACTCCTTTGATAGCAAAAAGCACAGCCCAATGTTCAAAGTTATACGGCAGTACATGAAAATGGTGATGGAGATGATGGCATTCATTCGAGCAGTAAGGACAGGTGACTGGCAACTGCACCTGCAAGCTCTTGAAGTCCTTACAAAGTATTTCTTTGCCCACGATATGTTGAATTATGCTCGAATGATCCCGGTCTATTTGGCCGATATGAATACTCTTGGGGAGATAGATCCTGATATCATCAAAGAATTTGAAGGAAACTGGGTAGTCAATAAAAACCCACAGGTTCCATTTTGKTCTCTCGCCGCAGATAATGCCCTTGAGCACGTAAATCGCTCTATGAAGGTGTCAGGAGGTCTAGTGGGCATTACACTTAACACCAACGCTCGGTTGAAGTACTTCCTGATCGCACCTGAGTTGGCACGACTAGCAGAAAAGGCCAAAGAGATGTCTGGGTCCTCAGTTTGTAAAAAGGAGAAGTATCACCACGATCTAAGCACTGCTGCCCGATCACGCCAAGAGACCAATATCTAACATCTAGCTACAACCTTCAAGAACTTCACAAATCCTTTCCTAGATGATGGCATTGCTACCAAGGTTGTGATGCCCGAAAAAGTGAAAGATGACCTGTGTCAACAAASTTCTATAGGTACGAAGATGCTGAGTTTATTTGTAAACGAGAGGATTGCCACAGCCACACATAGTGTCTGGACACCAATGAAGAAACGAAAGCTAAATACATGGAAAAGAGCTACAAAAGTTATTCAAGTGAAATCCAACGACAAAGTCATAGAGCTAAAGGAAGACCGCTCCTTGTTTGCGCGCAWGTCCKTGGTTGCGAAATCACGTCCAGACATCAACATCAAGGAAGCTGTCGGTGAATATGAGTTTAATGTGGTACCAAAGTCAATGTTTGCTGCTGATGGCTCAATGCTGCATTGTCCCTGTAAGAGCACCTTAATGGGCATTCTAGAGAAGCTAGTTGACACTACAAGTACCACACAGATATAACAGAAGAAAATGTGACCCCTCTTCCACCGAGAACGGCTACACGGATGAAGATATCTCTTGTTGATGGAATGGCAGAAGTTCAAGCGTTAGACAAACCGAGCTGGATCAAAACTTGTTTGCATCTGGCGGAACACTTCTCAACACGCATTTTTACCAAGTATGCTGAGARTGACGAAGTGCGTCTGATATTTGACAGGTATGCATAGAATTGTTATTTTCAAAATACGAAAAATGCATTTGAAAATAACAAAGATAAATTAATATTACTTGATTTCTGATTCTAGGTATGATGTGCCACTATCTTTGAAGACGGCAACAAGAGTCACTAGACAAGGCAAACAAGCGCCAATCTACTACAAGATTAMCGATGCAACACTTATCACGAAAAATCCCATGAAGACGCTTCTATCTCATGTCAAGACAAAGCAAGAACTGACTGAATACTTAGCCAAGCAGATCTTAAAGAGAGGTCTTGAGGAGGCKAAAGACGTAGTTGTGGCATGGGGAGCTGATTGCAAGGCTACTCATAGAGATATGACCCATCTTAAAAGTAACCATGAAGAGGCGGACACCTGCTATTGCACGCTGTCGATGCTACTTCAGCAGGAGCCACCTCCATAGAAATAATCTCACCTGATACTGATGTCTTTGTGTTGTCTCTTCGACGATACTTGTTGCTGTGCGAGGACACTATGTTTGTTACTGGTAAAGGAGATCGCCATCGAAAGATCAAGCTTGGTCCCATAGTTCGRGCCCTTGGACCTGCCAGGACTGCAGCTTTACCCGGATTCCACGCATGGAGTGGAGCAGATATTACCGGAAGTTTTGCAGGTAAATGAACTTTGACAATAATCTGYACTAGTGTAAATAAATGTATTACCAACAAGCAAAACATCATTTTAATTTTGTAGGTAAGGCCAAGACWCTATGCTGGAAAGCTTTTATTGATGCCGATAAAGACAGTATCACTGCACTTACAGACCTTGGAACCAGAGACCAACCACATGAAAGCACGTTTGCTGGAATCGAAAAGCTAGTCTGCCAGCTGTACCAGTCAAACACCAACATCGCCAAGGTAAAGGAACTGAGATGGCTCCTCTTTCGCAAGAAACAAGCGGAATCTGAGAGACTACCGCCTACTTTAGCAGCACTGAAAGAATCAATCAAGAGAGCGCATTACCAGTGTATGGTATGGAACAGCTACATATTAYCTAATCCAGAACTTCCATCACCATCAAATTACGGTTGGAAATTGGACACAGGTACTTTAAACATAATTTATACAATACCTATACATGCATGGATTTATTCAGCTACAAAGAACAAATAAGACGAGTTTACATTACTATTTTTATGTTTTCAAATAGATCAATGGACGCCCATAATGACTCCGCTACTTCCCGCACCAGATGCTGTGCTCTATTTAGTCAAATGTGGTTGTTCCAAGGAAAGTTGCTCAACAAACCGATGCAAGTGCCGCAAGGCAGGASTCCCGTGCACTGATCTTTGTTCTTGCATGGACAATGAAGAAGACGAGCCATGCAATAATGTCATTGAAGAGGAAATGGAGAGTGAGCTCGACGAGGAGGAGGAGGAACTTGACAATAGTGATTTTGAWGACCAGAACGACGATGAAGGAAATCCATGAAGTCAAACACACATAGAATMATATTTATTTCATTATAGCCTCGTTCTCATGTAAAAAGATCATGCGACTATCTTTGTGCCCTTATTAATTGTTTAGCAAGATATCAGAAACTATTCCATAGCAATTCTAGATAGCATTTGTGAGATTGTATAGTAATAATAGATTCTATTAATGCGAGTTTAAGTCAGAGCCTCGCTTCCACGTTAAGATGGTCACGTGATCTTTTTCATTAACTTAATGTTCATGGTCATGTTGGATACATGACTGAGCAAGTTTGCTTACATTTGGTTGCGATTATCAATAGTTATAAGCCAATAAAATCTCAGCCTCGTTTTCATGCTGAACCAATATAGCCCCTACATTAAAACCGCCGTAGCAGCTGTCGTAGCGAGTTACAAAATTGACGACAACATGTTTTATGTTCTTAAGGGTCCCCTCAACACTTCTAGATAGGTGGCTTGTTGTCTTCAAGAAAATCCCACGGGATTACATATGCTCCCTGACTATTTACAGAAACGCCGTGATTTGATGTAGTCCCTTGTCTGTTATGATGATCCGCTTCAGMAAATTCGTCGCTCTGGAGAAGGATTAGGTTGTTATGGATCACTTGCTTTGTAATTGATTCCTTGCCAGTAGAAATATATTTACTACGATTAAAATTTGGATTTGTTGTTATCCACGATTGAATAGGATATGTGCCAAGCTTGGTGTTATTTCTCGAGTTATTCCCTCTAAAACGATTCAGAAGTCCCATAGATCGAAGAGAGCTCCAAACATCATTAGARAGCGGTCGGGCCGATTGTTGTAAATGGCGCGGAGATTTAAATTACCTTGTAGGAGTTTTCCACCAGAACCTCAATTGGAGAAGCACATTTCTTGAGTAATTCACTCTAGACATGGTTTCTGGGCTGTTAGCAGTCAACAGGAGGATTTTTGTGATGAAATCTAATATCTAAAGGTTTTAAAATGGTTAAAAAGTTAAGAAGCAACCGTCCTCGGTGCTAATTACATGCAACATGATTGAACTGCGTCTAAAGGATAAAAAGGAGGCTGTTGAGACAAAAATACAGCAAATAGACAAAATGATTTCAGAATCTTTCCAAAAGTAGGAGAGATGACTAAGAAAGTCTTAGACAGACTTAGAAAGCTAGACTTAGAAAGACTTAGAAAGAAAGCCGACACCCCGACACCTCAGCCCAAGATGCTCGCAATATCGCAGAAGAATACGTCAGCTACCTCTCCAACTACGCAGTACCCAAAGCTATAACCGCCCAAGAAATCAAGATCGAAACCAGAAAGGACACTGGATTACAATCACTGATCAAGGCTATCGAAACCGATAACTGGACAAGCAGAGACATCAAAGAATTTGTGAAAGAAAAAGACGAACTTGCAGTATACAATGGTATGGTGTTAAAAGGAAACCGCATAGTCATCCCAAAGTCTCTAAAAACAAAGCCGTAGAACTTGCTCATGTAGGGCATCAAGGAATAGTCAAGACGAAACGCCTCATCAGAGAAAAGGTTTGGTTTCCTGGCATAGACCACATGATACAACAGAAAGTCAACAGCTGCGTACCATGCCAATCAGCTACAACTCAAGGAAATCAATCTCGTCCACAACCACTCAAGATGACGCAACTGCCAAGTGGTCCCTGGAAAGAAGTTGCAATTGACTTTATGGGTCCATTTCCCTCGGGAGACTATCTGCTGGTGGCAATTGACCGATTTCCGGAAGTTCAATTTGTCACAATAACGTCTGCTAAAGCAGCAATACCCAAACTGGACGCTATATTTTCCAGGCAGGGCAGCCCAGAGGTATTAAAGAGTGACAACGGCCCCCCCTTCAACGGAGAAGAATTCAAGAACTACGCCAAACATGAGTTTATCAAAGGCAAGGCATCAAAAGTGGCTGAGGCTTGTGATCCAAGAGAATGTTTCAGCTATRATCATCAGACCTGGGAAAAGGGTTACCCAGCAATGCTTGATAAAATYACAGAACCCTCCTCCAAGCCCATCGAAAAGCCCAAGACAGTCAAAGCAGAGCTGAAATTCGATAACAACCCCCCAAAATCTCCAAAGGTGAGAGTGAAGCCCCAAGTTAATAAAGGCACTTGCACTGCAACTCCCAGACCAAAGGCAAGTCAACAACCTTGCACCCCAGCTTCAAATGTGATGTCCCAAGTTGATGAAGACGCCTGCACTGCAACTCCCAGACCAAAGGCAAGTCAACAACCTTGTACCCCAGCTTCAAAAGTGATGTCCCAAGCTGATGAAGACGCCTGCACTTCAACTCCCATACCAAAGGCAAGTCAACAGCTTCATACAGGCAAGTCAACAACCTTGTACCCCAGCTTCAAAAGTGATGTCCCAAGCTGATGAAGACGCCTGCACTTCAACTCCCATACCAAAGGCAAGTCAACAGCTTCATACACTTGTAATTGTTGATGATCCAAGAACTGATAATCAAGCCATACCTACGTTATCTTCAACAACAACTCGTATGGAGTTTGCAAGTATACAAATTCCTCCCGTCACAAATGCACGCTTAGATTTAACAGCCATTTATGGGCCATTTATTGGGACTGATCCCATGTCTTTGAAAGACCCCCAGAAGCTGTTGTAAGAAATGCTGAAGAACTGCTCCAAAAGACTAAACAAGCACTGGCTATCAGTATTGGACATTTAGGTTGCTTTACACATCATGGAATATCAGTGCTATCTAATTTCAGCAAGGTTAAACAAGTGGAATATGAAATTCATGCTGAAAGAGTGTGGCTAAATAGAGATGATGGTCTAACCGATGTGTAAAATGATGCTCTTAAAGGTATATTGTGGCACACTGAATTTGGCGTGACCTTGCTAAAAGTTTGATCAGAAGTCAATTGACATCCAGTCATTTGCAACACTTGTTGAGGAACGGTACCTTGATAACTTCATTATTGATACTTTAATTACAAAGATTGCAAACACCCAGAGTTATAGTGGCCACAGAACAACCCTTTTCTTGCCATCAGAAGTATTTGCTTGGCTAAAAAGTAACAATGACCTGTTCATCAACCAGAAGTTGTTACAAGCAATTGGCCACAAAGATATGACTACATGCACCCTAGTCATGGCTCCTGTTCATATGAATGAATAAATAAATAAATAAATAAATCGACTTTATTTTACGAGGGTAACACGTGACAGTAAATAACTGATGAGCTTGTGGCCCTCACACTCACACTCACTACCTCTACATTAATTATTTTAGCACACAACACTCCTCACATGTTGATTTTTACTGAGGGAGGAAAACCGGAGGACCCGGAGAAAAACCCTCGTGGCAAGGGAGAGAACAACACATCAAACAAACTCAAACTCACATATGGTCCGTGCCCAGGAATCGAACCCGGACCACAGCGGTGAGAGGCCAGTAGCTTAACCACTAGACCACCCTTGCCACCC